TTAAATATTCTGTGTTTCTGTGAATCTGTTTCTTAAAGCTTTCTTGTCATATGGTTTACAGAATTCCACTGTAATAGTCTTTTGCCATAATCTAACACTTCTCCTTCACGACCATGAAGCGACAGCACTCCCTTTAGTTCTACAAAGAGAAGTATAAGCCTGAGGAAGAGCTGCGCGTGCAAGCCCGCACCATGCCAACGCTTCCGACAGGCACTGCTCCGGAACCCACCTGCRCTGGGCAGCCCAGCACCAGCTGTGGCCCAGGGCTGACAACTGCTGACAACAAGCAATGTTGACCTAGGGGCTGCTTCATTTCAGTTTTAACTTCTTAATGTGTGTTGCCAAAACGTTTTTACTGTCTTCACCAGAAAACAAAGGAAGGAAGAGAATGAAAATGTAACATGCATGAGAAAGGGCCAAGCAAGCAAAAGGGGAAGGAAGTAGCCTATAAAGAATGGCCTCAGGAAGGCAGAAACTGGTGTAAGGATGAGAAACAGAGGCTCTGCTCACCAGAGCCCAGTACAATCCGGCCCAAATGTGCCAGGCCAATTCGCCAGGCCTCACACCATCACCTTGGTGTTTGGCGCCAGTGGTACTTCACAAAATGCCAGCAAGACTCTGTGAACCGAGCATTCAGCATCCCATGACATGGCAGCAAGCACCCCATGCTCATCTAGCACCTCAAAACAGGGTGGCTGACGCCCTGTGGCCTGAGCATGCGATGCCTCATGATGTGTCATTGGGTGCCTTGCACACTCAACACCTCTTAACACGACAGCAGGCGCCCTGCAGCCTGTGCAAGCAGCGCCCCCGTGACTGTGGGTGTCCTGCGGCCCGAACATGCAGCACCTCACAACTGGTGCTCATGTTCACGGGCACCCTGGAGCCTAACCTCCCAACATAGTTGTGGGCACCCTGTGGCCCGACCATGAAGCACCTCATGAAATAGGTGCAGGTGCCAGGTGYGTGAAGTGCCTCATGAAACAGCAGCTGGTGCCCTCCACCCACAGTGCTTCACAGCACAGTGGTGGGTGCCCTATGACCTGCACATGAGGCCCCTCAGGACATGGCGGCAGGTGCCTTGCAGCTTGAACGGGCAGTGCCTCACAACATAGCTGCAGGCATCTTGTGGCCTGAGCACATGACCCCTCACATGGTGGCAGGCAGCACCTCACAAAATAGCGGCAGGTTCCTTGTGGCCTGACCAGGCACCTCACAAAATGGCAGCAAGTGTCCGGTGGCCTGAGCAGGCTGTGCTGCACCAAATATGAGCAGGCTGTGGCGTGAGCATGAGACACCTTACAAGATGGTGATGCATGCTGTGCACACACGCTGCCTCATGAAATGGCAGCAGGCACCCATCAGCCTGAGCAGGCAGTGCCTCACTAAATGGCAGCAAGCACCCTGTGGCCTGTACATGTGGCACCTCATGAGATGGCAGCATTGTGCTCCGACCTGATCATGCAGCACTTCACAAGGTGGCAGCAGGAGCCCTGTGCATGTGGCACCCCATGACATGGCAGTCTCCCCGCAACCCTGGCAAACACACCTGATGATGACATCGAGTACCCTTTGGCCTGATACATGATGCCTCACAAGATGGCAGCAGATACGTGCAGATGACGCCTCACAAAATGGCAGCGGGTGCCTCGCGCTTGCTGTGCCTCAAAAGGTGCAGGTGCCGTGCACGCCCGGGGCCTCACATAATGAGAGCGGGCGCCCTGCACACACAGCGCCGTGCAGAGAGCGAAGCACCCGCGCGCCGTCCTGCTGCCCCACAGGGGCCGGTCGCTCCAATCGCCGAGAGGGGGGTCGCGGCTGCAGCCTGCGAGGTCGCGTCTGCCCCGCGGCCGCCGCCGGCAGAGCAGCGGGAACACAAGCAGGTAGGAGCCGGCGGCGCCGCCCGGAGCGGCTCTAGGCGCTGGGTGGGGGGGCCCGCGGGCCGGCGCGAGCCGAGGGGCTCGGCCGCAGGTGACGGCTCCGCGGCAGCCCCCGCTCCTCTGCCCATGCGACCTGCGGGGAGGTGGGGGCTGCGGCGTGGGGCGGAGCGGGGCGGCCCAGGCCGCCGCGGCTCCCGCCTGTTCCGGCCCGCCCTGACGGGCGCGGTGGCGCGAGCGTGTCGCGCAGGGGCGGCTGGGGCTCGAGCGCCGGGTTTAGCGCCGCCTGTTTAGTCAGCTCTCCTAGGAACTGCGGGTGCCTAATGCGCAACCCGGCTGAGCGGTAGCTCGGGCACGGCGTCTGCAGCAGCTGCTGGTGGGGCTTCCCTCTTCGTCAGCCGCCCGGTCTGCTTGGGGAACAGGCTGGAGGGCCGGCGAGTAGTGCAGGCCGCAGCAGCTCCCACGTGCGGCCGGGCGCGCGAGGACGGCAGCCCTGCCGCTCATCCAGGGCGCTGTGGCGGCCCGGCCTGCTGGCACGGGGTTGTGGGCACGGGTAAACTATGTGTGGCCGGTGGTTGTTTCTCAATGAGGAAAAAAACCAC